AAAAATTGTAGAAGTATAACTATAAGTTAGAAATAATCAGGTATGCATATCTACTTTTGAGAACACAAAAGTGCCATTACGATAATGCACCATAATCTATAAATGCGTTTGCGGTATTTCCTCTATATTGGTCATTTTTTAGATTATTTCTTCAATATAAATACTTGGTTCATTCAGTGAAATTAGATGAATATGAAAAAAAAAACAAGAACTAATCTTATAATCAAGTTCATTAGCAATAAACAAAAATTAAAATGTTAGGAGGAACGTGAGACATATTTAAATCATTCAGCTGCAAGCATTTTTTTCCAAGATCTGAACTACATCCTAATAATAGTAGATCCTAGTAATAGTTGAATAAAAAAATAATGATTTTCATAATAGTTCCAAGATGTGCATACAATATAGTTTATCAAGAGATTTTGAAACAGAATAATATTGTTTTTTCTGGTGTATTAAAGCTCTAATGGGTAGTTTTCACTAATTATTTCATATTAATTTCAGTTTCTTAGTAATTTATTGTATCCGCTAATGTGTTAGAAAGTTTGTTCATCAGACGAAGCTATACGAAAATAAACCGTTTGGTGTAGAAGCTGTTGAGTGATACGAGGCAGACCGCGTCCATATTCCGCAAATTTGTTTATTTTCATGTAATTGATAAGATATCATTAAAACAGAGGCTGAGTGAATCATACAATTGTTTAAAGATTGGAAGTATTGCCGTTTGTAATGGTCCAGGCCTAAACATATTGATTCTAAGAACATGATGTCGAAGAACTACAATGTTGCTGAGCTAGATTTTCTTGTTTTATTTCAAATTGATAATGGTAAATTTAATAAAATGTGTTTATCTGATTCATTTTAACATTTTTCATAAGTTGAGAGACTGGCGTATGATGGGCAACAAAGACTAAAATATTAAGGTGTTGAATTATCTGTAAGTTCATAATGAATTCATCTATTGAAAACCTTAAATAAGAGTAGATGCAAAAGATTTGTATTATTTATCTATAGAGAGCAAATGAATGTTATTCATAGTTATAAAAACGAACGGAATAGTATAAATCTAGTGTTCTATATGTAGAAGTTAATATTAAATCGATGACCACAATCTTTAGTGGTGGTTAGGGCAATGCCTTAGATTTTGGCAATAAATATTTTACGATGCCTTTGTATGAAATATTCATAAGCTTCTGTTGCTTTTATTTATCATCTCTTGAAAGTGGATGACGAACGTTCACATCCAGTTCCCACATGACGGTGGCCATTTTCATGTTTATTTTTCGTCACAATGCTGACGCATGTGTGACAGTTGGTAACAATGTAATGCAATATGGGGTGAGCCACAAATCCTATGCTTCGCCATTCACGAATTTTATTTGAGCAGTAAATAATAAATATATATACATATATTGAAATTATTAATACATATATTGAAATAGTTTACTAACATATAATGTCAACTATTGTACGACCTACTTGGAAAAGCCACATAAAAACAAAAAAGCAGTAAATAATGATCAAAATGAAAGAATTTGATAGGCTACTACGTAAAAAGTCTATGCTCTCTGTTGAAAATAAGTTGCTGCTATATAAAACAATCATTAAACCAATCTGGACCTACGGAATTGAGCTCTGGGGATGTGCTTACAATCAAATATAGCTATAATGCAGAGAAATCAGTCTAAAATTTTACGTACAATACTTAATTCTACGTGGTACGTGACAATGAAACCATTCACAGCGACCTTAATATGAAAACGGTGCAATTAACATTCCAAGAATAATGGAAAAATACAAACGCAAACTGGAATCACATTCAAACCCATCAATAGGCGGCATTACCCAACCATTTGGCATAAGAAGATTGAAACGTCAATGGCCTTTAGATTTAGTCTTAGATTAGCTTCAATATAATATTACCCTACAATTGTTTAACTAAGAAGATCTTACTGGAGTTCTTCTTAGATATCGCTCTCAAATATTGTCAATTTAGCTTAAAAGGAATCCTTATGTATTTTTGATTGCTGAATAAACTACTGAGTCAAAAAAAAAAAACTATCTGCCAAAGGGGTTATGTAGAAAATAATTAATATGATACACATGCACGTTTAACGTCAGATATGAAATTATGTTTATTCCAGTTTGGCAACATTATTTATTAAAAAACTCATTATATCCTCACCATATCTCAGATTGCCACTATTGTGTAATGATGCAATCTGGTTACCAACTCCTCTGTGTAGCGTATTTTTAAACTATATTAATTTTCCTAAAACCCATTTACCTGGGCACGTATGCAGATCACGGCATGCACATTAAAGTTCCCGAATTAATTGAGTCTTTAGCGGCAGCGGCAGCGGCTGCGGCTTTAGCTGGCTCATTCGCCATCTCTATTGTGCGCGCACGCTAAGTGCTCGGTCTATATGCACTAGAATTAACTTCGGTTAGGGGCGGCGGAAAAACCACCCCTCGACAGAAACGAGCTTAGGTATTGCCGAGGGTTGCGATGTTATATATTGTACACACGCGAACTATGTAAATACGTGGGGTCCCGGTGACGATACTCATATTTATTATTAGCGGTGTCGGGGCAAATACGAGTATATCGGCCATGAATTTTGTGACATCGTCAGAGGAATGCTCGTTTAACCAAACCCATTGAAAGTATTTCGTATAATTAACTTTGTACAACTGAACAAATTGCATATATATTTCGGATAATTGAAGTAGTTTAATTACAAGTATTTAATATAGTTGTGTGCTATAAATATGAACAGCTGCAGAAAATGCTTATTTTATAATAATAATAAACAAACTACTTACCTTTTTAAAATTAAATTTGTTTTAAACTTGATTGAGAAAAAATTTAGAAAAAATTATCATTTTTAAATTAATCTGATCAAATATAAACGCAATGATAATCTATCCATTTTCTTTTTAAGTCGTGCGCCCCTTATTTTCAATTGAATTTAATGTTTTCGAGCAACTTTCGAGTATTATTGGAAAAATAGATTAATCCAAACACCTATTCGAAATAGTAATTTAAGTCCCCTAGCACATAATAACTATAATAATTAATATCAATTGGTTTTTAAATATGCGATTACAGTATAAAGTTTTTATTTTGGCTTCTAAACCCATTGCGTATGGTCATAATAAGCAAAATTTATAAAAAATATCAGAATTACTATCTACATTTGATAAAAGTATATACTGAAGTATTGTTATATCATGTTATAACTATTCAACAAAAGTAGAATTTTCCATAAGTTACATTGTGACAATGACTATTTTCTTATTGTTTCAAAAGTAATCAGAACTGCTTAACATTATATGCCCTATAAGATATTTGTTGAAGAATTAGCTTAATGTTTCATTGGAAGCAACATTTTATCGTTTAGTG